TCGTGGGGCCTGTGTGGGGTGCAGGCCGCACCCGGGTGGGAGGGAGCTGCTGGGGGTGGGCGTGAAACCCCACCGAGGCTGTGGGTGGAAGTGATGGGGAGGAGAGATCCCCGAGAGGGGGGTACGGCCCCCGGTGCTGCGGGGTCTTTGTGCTGCCAGGTGGGCACCGTTGGAGCCCGTCTCTGACAGCCTGGGTGAGGCTCGGTCTGGAGGAGACTCTCTTGGCTTCGGTCTCTGGTAACGTGTCCTGCCCTCCCGTGTGCGTGTCCCCGGCTGCAGGAGCGCGAGTGGGCTCCGACACGCTTGCAGGGCTTGGCCTGTGCGGTGCTAAATTGTGGCCGAAAAGGTGGAGCAGAAAAAACCACCGTGGCCTGCAGAAGTGCTGGTTCCACCTGATGATACAGCGTCGTAAATAGGCCTGGACTTCACCGGCGGTTCCTCTTCTAGCAGTAGCTTTTGAAGGAAAGACTTTAATTGGGCTGAAAGTTGCTCCGATGACAAATTATTTGCATCCTTTGGGGGCTGCTGTAGTGCAGCGAGGATTCGGGCTGTCCTGATCCCCGGCGGGGCCAGCGCTCTCCCGGTAAGGGATGGGGAATCCCCTGCACGAAGCAGAGCGCCTGTTGCTCACGACAAAGGAATGTGGGGAACAGGCACAGCTTCCCCGTTCTCGGAGGCCTGACCTTGAGAGCACATCACAAAGCCTGTCTGTCTATTTGGGGAGGGTAGGAAGTAGAGGGAAGTCAGTAATTAAATGGGATAAGGCTTTATTTGCGACGAGGTTTCGCAAAGCAGGCCGTGTACTGCTGCTGGTCTCGACTGTAAGCACCTGAGCTTGGCGGCATCTCATCTTACAGGAAGGGCCTTAGTCTCTTTTAATGCAGTTTTAAGTGACAAGTGTAAAACTGTTCAAAAATGCAACAGCATCGGTTAAACTGTTTTGTTATAATACTAATAAAACTGCTTGCGGTGGCTTCAGGGACCAGGCGTCTTCATGCCTGGTTCAGTGTGGTGGTAACATCCAGGGCTGTTTCTGAGCTGTTTTTATCCTTGTTGCTGAGACCAGCAGATAAAACCAAAGCAGTTTTTCAGATTCAGGCTTCCCTGCTGTCAATTTTTGCAATGCTAGAACGAGCAGAGGAGTTGCAAGAAAAACTTGGATTTGTGTCAGAAGATCTTAAGGTGGCATTTGGGGAAACTATTTTTAGCAGGATTGCATAACTTAAAAGCTGAGACTTTACCTACTGGGCAAATGTTTCTTTCCCTGCACACAGTGAGCTCCTGCAGTGCAGCGATCCTGCCGGAAATGCCTCTCGTCCCAGCTTTTCTCCTGGCCGAGTGAGATGGGGGTTTGAGGCGAGCGGAGTTCTGGCTGAGGGCTGGAATTTCCGAAGCCAAGTGCCACGGGGAGGCAACCAATGTTTAGATCACCAGCTCAGTCATGTTCAACCCGTTCAGGCGGCTGGGATGTGTGAGCGCTCTCTAAGACTGGCTGGGGGCTCCGGAGGGACCCTTATTCTTCCCATTTAAATTAAAAAAAAAAAAAAAAAAGCAAGGCAGAGTAATGTTTTTATGTGATTGGAAGGCAAGGTAAGGAGCGGTCTGAGGTGCAGTGGTGGTTCTCTCTTCTCGTGACTGGCTTGGGACCCTTGTCCCCAGGGGAACACGTATCTGTGTCAGGGGCGTACGAGGCTCATGTTACAGGCGGTTGATGGTTTCTGCACAGGTTATTTGGCTTTTTAGGAGAGCTGCAAAGGCTTTTCAGGAAATGCAAGTTTCTCTTCTGTGTGGCTGAAGGCCTCGGTTCTTGTGTGGAGGAAGAGACGTATCTTCGTCTGGGCCTAACAGGAGGTGCAGGGCTGGGTACAGCCTCCCACTGCAGCTTTTACCATGCTCATCTTCCCTTCCTTTTTTTTGTTTCCCCTGTGACTAGATCTGTCCTGTCTGACCTTATGACTCCTGCGTGGCAGCAGCTCTTGGCCCTTGAAGAACGACATTTTAAACTGTAGAAGAGGAAGGGGAAAAGATGGGCCATTGGGAGCGTCTCCCTGAAAAGAGTAAACCCATCCCAGCCCTGCCTCTTTGCTTCTTAGGGAGGAATTCTGCCACGGAAGGTAAATCAAGTACCTCTCAAAACTTTCTCCATCCACGTACAGGGGATGAGTTAAGTCCTTCCTCTACACACGTGAAGCCTCCAACATGTGAACGGTTGGAGTTACATCAGCAGTTTTACAGGGTGTTTACTTTTAGGGCTTTCAGTTGGCTGTTGACGATAACTTTGAAGTCATATTTATCTGAAACCTTTGGTTTTGCTCTGTTAACAAGAAAGATCTCTGTGTGTCCTGACCGTCCCCCTGTTGCAGCTGACAGCGCAAAGTGTATGGCTGTTCTCTCAGCTTGTAGCTGCCTGATCTCTACCCTGGCAGATTTACCTCGATCGCCGTTTAGAGATCACAGCCTGCTGTTCACAGGTCTGTGCAGGTTCACGGTGAAGGATGCAGCTCTTGCTCTAAAGCCGTTAAAGAACCTTTGCTGTAAATTAATGTCTACAGGGAAATAGCAAGATCTTCCTTAAATTTCAGAGGCTTAAAATAAGTCCTGCCAAACTGGCTTAGAAACTGCCCCTGCCTGATTTCTATATCTCTTATTTCACTTGGTGTTCTAGAAGAAGGGCAGACACTGGAATTCCCAGAGCGTTCTTGAAAGAGCAAGGTTGCCTGTGACTTGCAGGGAAAGTGCTTTGTTAACGAAACCCACTGATGAATCTGAAGTTCTGGAAAGGCATCCCAAAAGGCTGCAGAGACAGCTGGAGGCAATGCAAAGCGAACTTCAAACAGAGCTAAAGGTAAAAGCGAGCCGTGAGCTGTGCTGCTCAGCGGTCTCTGCCTGTGTTTTCTTGCTGATCAGTCAGCTTGGTGACTGGCCAACTGCTGGGGCTTCGCAGCTTGTGTGGGCTGCTCGCAGCAGAAAACAGGAAACTCTTCTTACTGAATAGGATCTGTGCTGCTCTGCTGTGAGGATGGGATTATTCACCAAGTCTAAAGAGATCGCTCGCATCCAGATGCTTTAGACTGAAGGCAAAAAACTCTTTGGTCTTCTCATGTTACGATTTCTGGGTGGCAGCTGGTCTGGGCTCGCTCGGTGCAATGATAGCGCTGGTAGTCGAAGGTGGGTCTGACTGGGAGTGTGGAGTCTTGGATGACCTGTGCAGGCCAGGCTGCGGAGCCCTTTCGGCCAGGGGTCCAGGTTCTGCCCTGGACCCCTAGGAATCCTCTCCTTCTGTTTAAGGAGCTGGGACCTGCACCCGTTCTTGGGGTGCTGCTGGTGGAGGCAGTAGCTCCTGCCAGGTCTGCCTTTCTCTGGCAGGTACCGGAGCAGCGCGACTGCCCCTGTCTAAACAAACTGCCCAGCATGGTTTCCTCTGGGACAAGGCATCGCGTCCGCTTCTGGCGGAGCAGTTAGAGTGGGGAGGGGACAGGCTACTGACAGAGCAGCAGTGTGGGATGCTTTTTTATAACTGAGTGTGCATATTCAGATGTTTTGCTGACTGTGACTTCTATCTGCTGTTTCTTGGGGGGAAAACCCAACCTCAAACATAAACAAATTTAACTTCAGATTTAGGCTTTTTGTTTTCTTGGTGTCTTGACGCTGTAGGAAACGGACCAGAAAATAAAAGGCTTGGCAGAGCTGGGTAAAGCTGTGCTGTGTAATTCCAGCATGGCTCCAGATGTTAACAAGTGGCTTTTTCCACTTATCTAGTGAAGGGAAGCCTGCCTCACAGACCCTTGCATCCTTCTGCACCTTATCTGTAGCCATGAATGCTCTCCAGAGAAACCACTTCTCGTGGGCGCGGGGCACATGCACAGTCCATCCTGGTCGGAGACTGCCGGTGTCCCTGCCGTCGTGGACGAGGAACGTGCAGCCCCCCAGAAGGAGGCTGGGGCCTGGTTCCTGCCTCTGTCAGTGGCAACGACTTCCTCTGGTCTTGCTGCATCTACCTGTAGACATGCTGCGGGCTTTGGCAACGTACTGTGCCGCATTCCTCCGTCATCTCGGGGGTCTGTGGGATGTGTCGGAGCTCAGGTGACAGATGGGTAGGGCAGCCAGTGCCCTGGCAGCTGGTGGCTTGAGTAGTTTTTAATGGGAGCTCGTACCCCAAGTCACAGGACCTCGTTTGGTTCCTGGTAGGCAGGAGCTGTTGCAGACAGAGCTCAAGCCAAATAAAGAGACTTTGCAGTGTCAAAATGCAGCAAGTGGGAAGAATATTCTAAGCTCGTAGCAGAAAGAACAAAACCGGAAATGTGTTTCTGCCTGGATCTTGAACATTTCCCTTCTGATAAACCCGGGGCATAGGATCCTGAGGTTTGGGAGGCTGTGATTCTGTTTGTGATACTGGAACCGAGCGTATCGCCTGCTCCTGGGGATGATCGGTGACGGCCCTCGTGTGCTGGGGGGTCACGGGCAGGGTCTCACCCCGGTGCTGCAGCTCGAGTACCGCAGCCTCTGCAAGGCAGGCGAGTGCTTGGCCGGGGCAGGAGATGAAGCGTGGGGGTAGCCCTGTAAAGGAGTGCATCCCACTCTGTTTGGGATATTTTGGGGGGAATATAATGCTGTCTTGTGGAAATCTGCCACAAGGTTTCCTTCCCCAACACGAAAGTGGTGCTGACCTTTGCATGTTTTCCCAGTCGTCCTGGTGTTGTTGCATGTCTGTGGGGTTTGGTGTATTATTTCTGCCCCTTTGGCAGTTCTGTCTGGGGCGTCAAAGCCCCTTCACGGTACAGTAGATTGAATTCCTGAGCTTTGGCAGGACTTGATCTGAAAAAAGTACAGAAGGGGAATGGTAGAAATTGGGTGAGCAGCTCCAGGTCAGGCCACCCTGTCGAAATGTCTTCATAAAGAGCAGGACCTTGCTGTCCCCGAAACAATGTGTGGTGGTTTTCTTTATTTTTTTTTTTCCCCCCCCAGAAGTCGTTGCCATGGCTTAGCAATCTGCAGCAACAAACTACGTTCCCTGAGCTGCTTTCAGTTGTGAAGCAGAGGCTCACAATCAGCTGCGATTCTTGATTATACATTTATAGGGCTGTAGGACTTGACACGGCACCTAGGACTTGGCAACCCGCGAGGTCTTGTCATGTTCCTCACAGGCTGAAGGCGAGGGTGGCTGGAGCGGAGCAGGGGTATGATCTGGTCCGTGGGTGTTGCTTCTACTCATCCCACAGCTCTGGAAGAGAGCTGCTGTTTCAGTTTTCCAGCTGTGGAATTGGGGATGGAATGGATAGAAGCTGTCTTGGGTTGAGCACGCAGCAGCGAGCAGGCTGTGCTGGAGGCAGGAGGGATGGGGCACTGCGGAGTTTTACCTGGGCTGCTTGGCTTGCTTTTTCAGATGAGCCTTGCTCCGTCTGAGAGGATAAGACCCTCGCCCCACGGCTGCACACATGGCTGTCCACCTCCTGGTTAGATCATCCTTTGCTTCTGTAGGTGCAGAGGTGACACTCTCCGCACAGCGTGGTGTGAGCTTGATGTGCTGAGAGCCGCTCCGCTTTGAAGAACTTCCCAAAGATTACTTTTTTTTTTGCTTTCCTTTTTTGAGGTGGCTGATTTCCACAGTGAGCTATTCTACCTCTAGCCTCTTCCACTTAAATCCTTTCAATGCATTAAAAATACAGAAAAGAGGATGAGTTTGTTGGTTCCCAGGTGGGAAAGACTGCAAGCTGGATGTGCTTTTTTTCGTACCAGTAGTGTCATTTCGGGTCGTGGGATTTTGAGGTGCTGTGAGCGTTGGGCATGATGGCTGTAGGTGTTCCCAGGACCATCAGCCAGGCTTTGGTGATCCTGAGGAGCCTCCCAGAACAAGGAACGGCTTTGCTGAGTGGCAAAGCCCTCTAGCCCGATTCTGCAGGGGTTAAGCCATAGGAGCTCCTCAATGTGTTTGTCCTTCCACCAGCTACCGAAACAAGATCTTGAACGTGGGTAGGGCCTCACGATTGATGTGTTTTCCTCCTATTATACAACCAAGAAGGATTGTTTAACCCTGCTTTCCTTTTGATCTGGTTTGTCCTTATGTGCTTGGGCAAAAGCTTCCTTTGCCTTGTGAAAGGCTTTTTAGAAAAAGGGACTTTTTTTTCCTCCCCTTTGGAAAGTTTTGCTCTCTGGACATGAGCTAATGTCAAACAGAAGATCAACACTGGAGGAAAAATCTTTATGGGAAGAGCTGTTAGATTTCTATTATCAATGCTTTTGGTTTTTAATTAGCAAATAATGAGTAATATTTTTTGTGTGTTTTGCCTGTGGCCTCTTGAATCAAGATAGTATGTACTAAAACTTTGTGGATTACAGTCAGTCATTCCTGAAATCTCTGCTAACTGGTTAAAACACTTTGAAGAAACACCTCCACCCAAGAGAAGTTTTAGGCCTGGGGGATATCGATTATTTCAGGTGTGGGAGGGACTGCAGCGAGCACGCCGAATCCATCTGGTTTTGTTCCTGCTG